ATATATGCATAACCCATGGACACAGACAATAGTGTGGTGAAGGCCTGGGGCAGGGTGTGGGTGCAGGGTAGAAGGGGTTAATGGGGGGAAAAGGGGACATCTGTAATACTTTCAACAATAAAGATAAATTAAAAAATAAACTATCCTATAGTACTCATATATTTGCTGAGGCACCTCAGGGTTCCTTGGCACACAATTTGAGAACCACTANGTAGACTGAATTGAGGTTTTAGTTGCTACAGTGAGAAATAGAAATCATATGACAAGTCAGATTTTAAGAAATACAGCTAAAGAACTATACCTTTTCAACCAGAATAGTTTGATTACCAGGTTCCTGTAAAAATTCCTTGTCCATAAAGGTCATATTCTTTGTAAAGGACATATGCTTTTAGACGATTGGGTAACGGAAGAAATGACATGAAGACGGGGCAGCGCAAATGCAACCGTCCCATACACTTCCGGATCTTGAGGCGGCACAAATGTTTTAGGGATCGAGGGTTTGCTAAAATGAAAGAGACAGACACATTATCCAAAAGGAAAAATAATTGATTTTTTTAGTGACTTTAGGGTTTAGTTAGCAAATGTATTTTATTATACTTAAGCCACCAAGATTTTCATTTGCTATCACTAAGTGGAAAAGTTAATACAGAGACAGCTTTTTACTTCTCATCCAGCCCTTCCTGTAGATGCGGTTTCAGAGCCATGTCAAGTCAGAGTCCAAGGACCAGCATCAGTTGTGCATCTGGCCTGAGACCTGAAGTTCTTAAATCTGCATGTGTTAACCCCACCACCTCCACCCAGTCCTGCCTCTCAGGGTCAGGCTGAAAAACTAAAGATCACTACTCAGGAGGAAAATAAATGAAAAATTATTCTTAATTCGGCTTTGTTCTACAGTGAAAGAATTTGGTTTGAAGGGTCATTTGATATCCCCTACAGGCTTAGATCTTAGTTTTTTCGCATTTATGTTTTTATTGCCATTTTATAGCTTTTAATTCCTCTTTCTATGCTGTTCTATAGGATTAGGAGAGGAGTATTACCTACCTATGTAATAAATAGTTAGCTAACAGATTTTATTTATTGGGAAATGGTAATAAGTACAAATTAAGTATAGTTATAAACTAACATTTTAAAGATAGGAATAGTATTTTTCTTGGTTTCTTTAGGTCAAGTTTTTAATGAAGAGAAGAATGTTTTACAAAACAAGTAAGAATACAATTAGTATTGTTGATAAGAATTTTCTGCAAGAAAAAAAGATACTCACTCAAGATACTATGGATTTCTGACCAGAGACCCTGTTTCTGGAGCACAGCTTTCAACTTTGAACAGATCCGAACTTGATCAACATAATCAAGCATTACTCTAACAACCTTTCCAGAGAGATGTTGCAACCACGACAAAGTTATTACTTCGCAGAACTGAGGAAGAAAATCAGAACTATGAAAGTAAATGAAAACTTAAGTATTTATGGTTTAGCATAGTAATTAAAAGAGCAGTAAACTCAGAGTCAGAATCCAAGATCTCAAGTTTCTCATTTATAAAGTAAGGTGTTGAGCAAGAAAATCTATTTCTTAGCTCTAACATTTGGAAAAATATTTACTACTATGTCTTCTAAGCTATGTAAGATGTAATGAAGGTGTGAAAGGGACCGTTATATAGTATCTTTTATCTTCTTTGGTTGGCCACATGGCTTCTGGAATAAAGGTTACCTTTCTAGCTACACTTGTGCCTAGATGTGGCCACCTGGGTTCTAGCCAATGAAATGTAAGTGGAAGTGTGAGCAACCCCCAGAATGCCCCTAAAGAAGAGCAAGGTGTGTGCTGCTTCCTCTGCCTGCCTTCCTGGTGGCTGTAATGTGGATGTAGGTTCTCTTGTGAATTCATGGGGCTGTCCAATTAAAATGCTATTTACTTCCTACCCTTTATTTATTTGAGAGAGTAATGAGCCATCTTATTAAAGCCACTGTTGTTTTGGGTTTTCTATCATTTATAATCTACTTCTACACTGTTACTTGAATGATCTGATAGTTTCTGTCTTTAACTAATTTACATGGTCTTAGATTAGATGTCCATGTAAGAAGTCAAGTAACACTATATGAAAAGTCAGGAAATAATACAAGATATATGCCTAAATACAAATCCTATGTTAATCATAACCTAAAACAATAAATCATACAATATTATAATGTTTTGCCTTTCGCTTTTCAGAATAGATTTGAAATACTCATTTCATTTTTATTTTCAGATGTTACTGTGAATTCAAGTATTTATAGTGCATCTACTGTGTGCTAAGCACTGATCTGCAAGCTGAGGAAAGTGGTGAACAGCTTACATTCATGTATTTGTGGGGGAGACATAATCAGTAAAATTTTAAAAAGAATTTCAGAAGTGATAAGTGCTATTAATGAACAATATTATAAAAGAGTGATTAGGGAAGGGAACTACCTTAGATAAGGGCCTCTTTGAAGAAATAACGTTTGCAATGAGACCTGAAGGGTGGCAGCTATGCAAAAAGTCACAAGAGCTCAAGCTGGGGAAAGTGGAAGTCACCAGTTAGGTAGACTGGTGTGATGAAAGCCAAGAGAAAAATGCCTCAAGGAGGGAGTGGTCATTTATTGAGATTCTTTTTTTTTTTTTTTTTTCATCAAAAAGGGGACTAAAGGCCCAGCTGGGCATGGCTCAGCAGTTGAGCATCGACCTAGGATCCAGGCAATCGGGATTCGATTCCCTGTCAGGGCACAGGGTTACTGGCTTGATCCCCAGTTGGGGGCCATGCAGGAAGCAGCCGATCAATGACTCATCATTGATGTTTCTATCTCTCTCTCTCCCTCCTCTCCTTTCCTCTGTCTGAAATCAATAAAGATATATTTTTTAAAAAAGTGACTAAAGAAAACCACTTAATCAAATGTTAGAGCTAAAAGAGAGAGACACACACCTAGTGGTACAGGTATCAGGGACCCAGAGCATTTTAGCTAGATAACACTCAAAGATAAAGCGTCATGTATTGAAGACTGCATTCATTTTTGAAAACATTGCTCAGATGTTGCTTCATTTGTGAAACTCCCTAGGTTGAACTAAATCACTGTGTTGGGTTTTTTTCTGAATTGTTTCTGTACCTTTTACATCTTTATACTATTGTACTGATCCCATATAAAAATCCAACAATGAGCTCTGGAGGGGATGAATGGAGTCTTCCCTAATGCTGCAGGTCATGCCACCGATAATGACTCTATAAGGTGATACAGCCAATACTGTGGACTTACCATAGTATCTTTGATAACTGTAGATGTCCAGCCCTCAAATGTATAGAAACGAACTTTATCTCCATGAGGACAATCAAAGCATCGCTCTGTATCATATCCATAATTCAACAGCATCCTGAGCATGACTTCATCTTTCAATGTGTATTGCAGTGCTGATGGGAAGTGTAACGGGTTGACTCTGCAGAAGTAATTTACATTGGCCCCATGCCGTAGCAGCAGACTTATCAGCTCATAGTTGCCCATCCTTAGGGCTATCTGGAGGCAGTTAACTGGGTCTTGGTTAGGCAGAGCTCCAGCACTCAGAAGCAGCTTAACTGAAGAGAGGTCACCATTTGATACAGCAAAATACAAAGCTGACTTCCTATGGTCATCATAGTGTTTGCGAATTCTCTGATCTAGCATGAAATTTACATCAAATCCAGCCTGGATGAGAAGTTCAAGGCATTCAGGGTGTGCTCCTGCTGCTGCACAGTGAACTGGACTGATGCCACTCTGCTTAATGGCAGCAAAATCCGTAACTGGAATCAAAATCTTTAGAGCTCTGAAAAAAAATTTCAAATTGCATTTAAAAAAATTTATTTTTTTTAAAGATGCAACATTGCCCTGCCTGGATAGATCAGTTGGTTAGAGCATCATCTGGATATGCCAAGGTTGTAGGTTCAAACTCTGGTCAGGGCACATACAAGAATCAACCAATGAATGCATAAATAAGTGGAACAACAAATAGATGCTTTTCTCTCCCATCCTCTCTCTCTAAATATCAATAAAAAAATAAAAGGGGTATTGGAGTCATAGGATCAGAAATGAGGAATATAAAGTTCCTAGTAGCTGCTCCAAAAAAATTAGCTATTTCTATTATTTGCAATAATGTAATTGAACTTACAACAAGTGGCCTCTGTCAGCTGCCACATGAATGGGTAGATGGCCTGAATTCTTAGGGACGTTGGCATCAGCTCCATACTCTAGCAAGAGTGTCACAGAGTCTGGATTTCCTCCACTAGCGGCTTCAAGTAAGATGGAAGAAGAATCAGAGGCCTGACCAAGAGCATTCGCACCTAAGAGAAGAAAGATTCTTGTTATGCTAAGTCTTTCCCACTGTACTCCTTAAGCATTCTTAAAAATGTATCACCACCACCAAAAAGCAAGTATTGAACAGCCATGTTAGCAAAGCACTAAGAATCAAAGAAAGAAATGTACCTCCTGCTCAGGCAGCTTATAATCTAGTTGGGGAGGGGGAAATGGTGTAGTCTCTACAAGTAGGCTGGCTTTCAGAGTAATGCTAGAAGTTATTTTTTTGTAACTTGAAAATTCGAGGAGAAATCATTTATAAAAAGGTCGTTTTATTTCTAGACCAGCTTACAAAAGCCCACGTAACTCATGGCACACGTATACAGGACGGTACTAACACTTTTGATGAACTAGATCATCATGCCATCTATGAATGTTATGATGGGAAAGGGCATTTTTCTGTTTTAACTTGTTCGTAGGGAGCTGTTCATAGTAAGAGACAGTGTAATTGTTTTTAGTTGAAGTTGTAGATGGCTGATGGGACAAACTGTAGCACCCTATATGGGAAGTGTCATGTGAGTGGTGTGGGTAATAAATGAGTACAGGCATATCTCAGATGTTGTGGGTTTGGTTCCAGACCATCACAATATAGCGAGTATTGAAATAAAGTGAATTGTAATCTTTTTCCTGGTGGAAAGTCTTGCCTTCAATTTGTAAAAAACACAACATTGGTGAAGCACAATAAAATGAAATGCAATAAAACAAGGTGTGCCTGTGTAGGTACAGGCAAAATGCCCTCCAGTAGCATTTTGAAAGAAGTATTCTTTCAAATACTTCTATTAGGCTTAAGTAAAATGTTAACTTCTATTCTTTTGAAGCCCACCACGAGGAGGAGAACACTTGGGTCACATTACCCCTTGGTAGTGTGCAGACTGTATAGAAAATCTTGCCTTTTTGTAGTAATATTTCCATGACTTCGGTGTTTCCACTTTGGGCAGCAAGAGCAAGAGGAGTGAATCCGTAGGAGCTCTGTGGGTCAGGGTGTGCCCCAGAAGCCAGCAGTAGCTTCACCATATCCCGTCTGCCCAGTTTGGCTGCTTCGTGGAGAGCTGTCCTCTCGTTGGCACACCGCAGATTGACGTCTGCCCCATGGCTGATCAGCAAGGCCGCCATGTCGTAGGAGTCATGTAGAACAGCTGGGAAATTAGAAGGGAGGGAGGCATTATGCTCAACAGGAAATTGAGGCCAGAGTGGTCCCTCAGGCTTCTTAATGTGCCATCATTTTGTGTTTGGAAACATTATAAAATGAGGTATATATCAAATAATATAAATAGTGTTTTATATCAATAGGCTGTTTGTTTTCCTGTAAGCCACGACCAATTATTCATTGCCTATTGGTGGCTCATGTGGCTGAAAAACATAAACACAAAATTTTCATTTATCATTTTTATGTTTCAAGAGAATTGGAACTTAAGTACTCAGTACAGTTTTAGAAATGCTTATAGCTGTCTTAAAAGGAGAAAAACAAAGCAACAGTAATTAGGAAATTATTTTTAAGCTCACATTTTGTTAACCACAATTCTCCAACTGGCTTTTCTGCATTTATGCTGTTAATCTTTAACCCTTCAAGATTCTAAAACACCTTAATTTATTCATCTCCCTACCTGTTCGCTAATTATTGGCATCGACAGAGGACTCTTGCTAGTGCCAGATGCTGAGTCAGTATGAACTCTGCTCATGACCATGTATAATGTGCCATAGAAAGGGCTCCAGCTGCTCGAGGACTAGAAATAGAGAGTGCCAAGTGTGCTGGGTCATTTTTAAGTCACTGAGCCAGCACTTAGTGTGCCCTTTCATTCCGGAACACGTCCTTGGTTTTAGGAAATCATTTTCGTGACTTATTTCATTGATGATACACCACCACCTTGTCTGTTCCCTGTCTGGCATTCCTGTTACTCACTCGTTGCTCCTCCTGGGTAGCCTTCTAGTTCTCTTATTTCTTTTTCTTTCCTGTTTTCTACTTCTGATCTTCTTCTGGAAGCTTTCCTAAATTCCATCTCTCAGCATTTGTTTTGAATTTTATTTCTGCTATCCTATTTTTAATTTCCAAGAGTGTTTTTTTTCTTTCTTTCCTTTTCTTCCTTCCTTCCTTTCTCTCTCTCTTTTCTTTCTTTCAGTAGTATCTCTTATTTCATTAATTTCTCTGAGGAAATTAATTATAATTTTGTCTTATGTTTTATTATCCCTAAAAAATCTGTTTCCGTGAAGATGCTTATATTTGTTTCTTTTTATTTTCTAATCCTCACGTGAGTATATTTCTTCCACTGCTCTTCAGAGAGAGTGAAAGGGAGGGAGAGAGAGAGAGAAAGAGGAACATCGAACTTGGGGCCGAAGCTCTAACCATGGAGCAGACCGGCCAGGGCTCCCATTTGTTGCTCGACTTTCCTCAGATAGTCCTTCGCTCATGATTAAGAGTTGGGGACTAAAAAGCTGATTAGAAATTCTAAACACTGTGTGGGACTTGTAGACTGGTCTTAACTGTAGGTTGAAATGCCAGGGCGATCTGTTGGGGAACCCCCACTTTCACTGTCTTTCTCTCTTTTTGGGCTGATCAGATTCTCCAGGGAAGCCTCCTCGTGGAGGGTCGAGTTCCGGCTGCCAGTTTATGTAATCCTGGTGGAGGCGGAGGGCTGGGAGGTGTCAGTCCATATTTGCTTAATTCCTCCAGTGTTTTCAATCCAGTACTCCCGCCCTTGCCTAATATCCCCCAGTGCAGAAAGGCTCTGTTTAAACTGTCCAGAGAATAAACCTATAGAATTTTGCTGGAGTTGGGGGAGGGCGGATTGGGAGAAGTGATCTAGAGATCAGACTACTTGTTTCTTAATAGCTTTCAAGCAATCCTCCTATTTTAGCTGCCTGTCCACCTATGCTCCATGAGGTAATGACTGCCAATAATTTTCAGGCCATTTATATAATTGTGCTGTTTTTGGCTTTCTACCAATTTAATGTGTGGCTTTCTTGTCACTATTTATCCATCTGTTCTCCAGGTTTAAAAAAATCACCTGGTTGTTGTCTGCTCTCCCATTCTTCCCATTCTTTTGTAACCAATCCCCTTAAAACAATTGCTTACCTATAATTTTAGTCACCACTCAGGAGGGAACAAAATTAGGCATTTGTATTCAATCTGCCAGCTTTATCTGTCCATTGGCTGCTGCTTCCTGCTCTGCTCCCTTCTTATTTTTTTGCACCAGAACTAGCTGGATCGATTAAGGCACCCTGCAAAGTGATCAGTTCCTAAGTGGGCAGAGATTTTACATCAGGCCACCTCACAGGCCAGTCTGAAAAGAGCTCCAGGGGGTCAGGTGCCTATGTCTGGTCTCTTGGGATGAAATGACTGTGCTGCAGCTATGCACAAAAAGCTGCCTTTGACACCTATGGGCATGGAGGAGTCTCAGAGCCACAGACTCTTCTCCAGAGGCAAGGTGTTACTTTACCTGTAAGAAGAGGAGAACTGCCTTCAAAATTCTTGGCATTCGGATTGCAGCCATTGAGAAGAAGAAAACTGGCATTTTCTAAGAGGCAATTGCTGACAGCCAAAAAAAGTGGTGTTTCACCATTGTGGGTGGTTTGCTCCCATGCACTGGGTTTTGAAGCTGAAATAAATCCATTAGACCACACAGGTTAAGATATAAAAATAAATGTTACATTTATTTCTCAGAAGCATCAGAAGAGTTATAAAGGGAGGTTACCTTTCAGGGTTATTTTCAAAATGTTCGTGTTTAATTGCACTGCAGCCTTATGCAGAGGAAGCCGGCCAATCTCATCTGCTTCATCGAAAGCGGAACAGTACCTGGTCAGGTGTGACAATGCATCTTCCTCACCTATTAACAAGTCAAATGAGAACAGATTCACATTTGGCAAACAGCATGGGCTGCCCGAATTCTACCATCAAGGTTAGCGCATGAGACACAGAATTCTATCACCGCCTTTTATGAAAGACAGATTTAAACGGCAAAGGACAAACAAGCGGTAAGGCCCTTCCTCTAGCATCCCAGGCCTCCAGGGCCTGTGAATACCCATCACCTTTTCCCATCAGAAAAACAGCTCTGTCCCTGAAGAAGCCCAGGAGCTATTTGCTAAATTGTTCTGATGTATCTTCTCCCAGGAAAGGCCACATTAGACTCCTGACAAGCAGCTGTGGACCCCACAGAGTTCAGCACTTGGGAGAAACTGCTTCTAGGCTTCCGGAACTTACAGGGAAATGCTGCCAGTTGTCACCATTACCGCTTACTATAGGTTGAAGGGGATAGAATAGGAAGAGTACTTAACTGTCTCTATTGTTTCAAGTATCTTCTTACAGTCTGTGCTCAAAAAGGAATGGAAACTGCATAGGAAAGAAAAAAACATTAACTCCAAAACTTGGGAAAAGACTAAAATATTTGCCATAAAACAAAAGGAAAGGGTAAAAGCAATAGTAGTTAAACAGGGATAAACTCTTATATAAGGCAATGACTAAGGCTTGATAGAAATATTTCCAAAATGCAGTGTGACCCTCAACATCTGAGCTCTGGGGGAAACTCCTCTCCCACATCTATCCTCCCTTGTCAGGCGAAGGACTGTGTCAGAGCCTGGATCACAGCAAGTCCTTAATCTGTGTTTTCTGAACGGAATCAAACCTGCCTAGGACTGAAATGTCACATTATCACCTGATAAAATTTAATAGCCACTCTATAATGTCACTGATTCTAGCCAAAATTATTATTTAAAAATATAGTGAATAATCATGGTGTAAGTTTTAAACAAGATTCATGGTCAGAATTTGTGCTCAGAAAACACTATTAGCAGATTTTTATGTGATGTGACCAAAAAGTGCAACTCTATTATATCACCCATATATAGGGTATCCCAAAAAATGCATACACACACTTTGAGTAATTATAAAGTCAGTGTTTATTAAAATACATTTCATTTTCAAAATTGAGCTATCAGCTGTTAAAGTGTGTATACATTTTTGGGGGACACCCTGTATGCATGGTTCAAAACACGGCTTTCACACTGGACAGCTATTATGTTGGCTGTTGTAATTTTTTCATTTGGAAAGAAGTCAGTGCCCCTAACTAAATAGTCAGGTATTGCATGTTTTTTAAAATTCTTGCTGCATACCAGTTGAAAATTGCTGCTCTATTGTCATGTGAGGTTACATATTCACAGGTTCTGGGATTAGGATGGGGACTTTTTTTGGGTGGGGGGATTATTTTGCCTGTCTCAAGTATATTCCAGTTTTCTAATTCCTTCAAGTGTCTGACCAAATCAGCAAGCCTTCCTAAGTATCATATTCAAGTGTAATAAATGAAACTATAACTACAGTTATAGTTTCTCTGAAACATTTTATTACTCTTAATCAAAATCTCTTATACCTCTCAAAGTAAAATCATGACTTCAAAATCAATTACTCAGTGAACTTTAAAATTTTTAATCACAATATTAATACAACAGGTAATCCAATGAACCCAATTTCTTTACAAAACTTTATTTAAAGATTATTCTAAATTTAACACAAAATTGTAGGAATAGTGTGGTAAAGAGCACAGAGTCTGAAGCCAGGATGCTTGGCTCTTTACTAACTCTGTGACCTTGGGTAAGTCACTTCTCTGTGCCTTAGTCTACTCATCTCTAAGTAGGGATAATAATATTACCTACCACATCAAGAGATAATGAGAATTAGGATTTAAATGAGTTAATATTTATGAAATGCTTAAAATAGTATGGCTCCATGAGTGTGTTACTTTTTAATTTTTATGTATTTATTTAATAGTTTATTGATTTTTTAGAGAGAGAGAAAGGAAAAGGGAGAGAAAAATGTTGATGTGAGAGCACAGTGTTGATCGGCTGCCTCCTATACACCCCCTACAGAGGATTGAGCTCACAACCCAGGCATCTGCCCTTGACCAGCAATCAAACCAGCAACCTTCTGGTTCAAAGGATGATGCCCAACCAACTGAGCCACACTAGTCCTTCAACATCTCTATATTTAATTATAAAATCTCTTGGGGTTAAAACCATTTATCCAGTTTTATCTCTGCAGGCACACAGAGGTCACCATCTCAAGCAAACAGGGCTTATCACCCCTAAAAAACAATAGTAACTACCTTAGGGGGTTGAGGTTGCTGATCAGCCAGAGAGCATTTGACTAGGTAGGCTCAGCTTCAGACAACCCATTTCCAGGGCAATTTTCTTACACCACTGAGGAACCCAAGGGGTCCTTCTCTACTGCTGTCATTCAGAACTCTGAATCCATGCCCTTCAGAAGGAGTTAGTTAGTCTTTTCTGGGTTTAAGTTTACATAATTTCTCCTTTTGATTTGAGTAGATTAAAGACTGGACTTTACCCCACCCATCCCAGAAAGGTTGAAGGTAACTTTCTATGTGTCTTGGTTGGATGCATGCATTTCCTTAGCTCCTCAAAGACAAGATGCATCCAAGTTCTCTAGCCTTTCATATTCTCATGTGTTTCTTCTTTCTGATTTTCAGCCTGCATCTCCTCACCCTGATTTGCTGCTAACCTCCTTCAACTGTTTTACTGCCTAAATAAATTCTAAATTATGTCCAAATTTTCCCTGTCAGGCATCAAGCCTCATAGATATTTAAAGTACATATGCAGCTCCATGGATTCTGACCCTCTCTCCTATTTTTTTTTGGAACACTAGGGTCAGGCTGATGACAAGTCTCAGCTGTTGAATGCTTATGCTACATTGCTAATGAGATACCATTACCTCTCATCCCCAGGCGCCTGCTGTGCATTTCCTGGCTTGTGAATATCCTGTAAACTCTGTTGAATGATGAGCTGGGTATCAAAGTCATCATCGATGTCTTCATCACTGGTGTAACTATCCATGTGAAACACCTACTGATTTACTTTAAAGTCAGAATGAATTAAAAATATTTTTCCAGTTGCAAAAACAGATTATCAACTGCTTAAAATTATAAATGAAATTCAGAAAACTATAAAATTGATCAGATTGATAAATGAAGAAAATGCAAAATTTAGAAAACAAGATATTCATTTAAAATATTTTTCATAAACTTAAAAAACAGTTTTTTGAACTGCCCCAGATTCAACATAAATTAGAAGTTTCCATGAGTAACCATTTACTTAAAGCTTGTCCAGGAAAAATGACCTTTCATATGAAACTTAGGTCAGTACCATTGTAACTTTGGAAATGCTCATATTGATCTATTTTAGACTTGGCTTATGAGTTTTTCTCAGTGATTGTAGCACTCACCCAAAAGAATATCTTTCCTACATACACTGAATGTTATGCTGAAAAACAAAAATGTTATTCAGTTAGTAAATACTAAACATAAACATGTTATCAGAATAAATGTACTCTCATAATACAACACACAGTAGGAAGAGTGGTAGTAAAAACCAATGTCGTTTAGTAGGCAATATCTCAATTGCTTTAAGAGAACATTTCAGTTTTATCAGAGAGTAAGTTTGATCACATACGAAAGACGCTTTACCTTCTGTTATCACCTTTAGGACAGTGCTGGAGTTTTCACTGTTGAAGATTAGCACGTTAGAAGTTTCATTTATATTTAGGATCTCCACCGCCCTGTAATGACTGTCCATTAATAGCTTTACTATAAATACTCAATCACAAGACAGTCTGGCACCTTCTCCTGTTTTTTTACCTGTGGTTTAGCTCTGTTTGGAAACACGATCTCTTTTCTTCACTGCTACATTCATCAAGTTTAAAGGATTAAACATTTTCTTCTTGGAACAAAATGCTTTTTCAGGGGATTATCCCTGTGAAGTGAATTCATTCTCTTAAGACTCATGCACTCAGCCACTGCAAACCAGAATCATTTTCCATGTGAGAGGTCAAACATTTTGCTTCTACCAAATTATCAAAAGCAAGTGTTATAATGGTCCTGATTCACTGGGTAGCTACATCTACATTTTCTTTGGGTTATACAGCTGCAGCCTAAAGTTTCCTGGGAATCCTAAGGAGGGAATTAATTCCACACAAGATAATAAAATTTTGACTATAATTTTGTTTCATTGAAATGTTTCTAAACTGTTAATGTAGACTAATATTATGAATGCACAGTAAATAAAAAGAGTATTAACTATTAAAAATAGTGATGCCCTAACCAGTGTGGCTCAGTGGTTAGAGTGGTGGCCCGCACACAGAAGGACTGTGGGTTTGATTCCTGGTCAAGGGCATGTAGCTGGGTTGCAGGTTCAATCCCTGGCCCTGGTCGGGGCTCATGCAGGAGGCAACCAATCCATGTCTCTCACACATCCATGTTTCTCTCTCTCTCTCTCCTCTCCCTTCTCCCTCCTTTCCACTCTTTGAAAATCAATGGAAAAAATATCCTTGAGTGAGGATTAACAAAAAAATAAGACCACTTGGCATTTACAATGAACTATGAAGCTAATGCTGAGATGCACAAACCAGCTAGGTGTGCAGGATCTTACTGCCTTTGTGTGTCCACTTCACTGCTTTGCTTCCTTTCCTTGTCACAGGGATACTGTGAGAAATGAAACTACTATTTTAAAGTATGACAAAGGGGTTTAATTTTGGAATTGTTGTAATATTTTCCTTGTTTTCTATTTAATTTTGTATTTATTTTTTAAAATATATCTTTATTGATTTCAGAGAGAGGAAAGGAGAGGGAGAGAGAGAGAAACATCAGTGATGAGGGAGTCATTGATCAGCTGCACGCCCCAGACTGGGGATCGAGCCCGCAACCCAGGCATGTGTCCTGACTGGGAATTGAACCTTGGTCTCCTAGATCATAGGTCTATGCTCAACCACTGAGACATGCCGGCCAGGGCCAAAAAAATGTTATGCTTCAAAGAAACATTTCTTTTATGTTTTCCTTCCCTAGGTGTCTGTACAGTGGAGGTGGAGGAGGCTATAAGGGGGTAAATGGTGATGGGGGGAAAAAAATGAAATAACCATTAACACACACAAAAGCTATTTTCTTTTGACATTTAACCTGAGTTTAAACAATACCTCTTCAGTGGGACTTTGCTTAACCAGTCAATCTATAAAGAACCACATTGAAACTAACTATTGATCACACCATTTTGGATTATCTGCCTAGCATTTGTCATACTTGGTTAATTGTCTGTCATTGCTTTGTTCTTAGCATAACCGTCATCTAGAATTAAGCTCCATGGACAACAGTAAATAAAAAAGAATCAACAAATGTTGAATGCATGAAAAAAAAAAAGAGTTCATGTAGAAGGCTGTATTCCAAGCAAGAGTGACATATCAGGGAGGAGAGAAATGCAAAGACTTTTCACAAAGACCATTTAAGAATGATACCAACGTACTTAGTTTTATTATATATATATTTTGAAGTATGTGAAAACAATGTGTGTGTTGTGTTTGTTTTTTTACTTCAGATATTTTCTTAAATTTGTCCAATTTAGTCATCCACCTGACAAAGCAAAGCAACCCCACGCTTGATCCAGTGTTGAATGGGTTGGTCCGTTTTTAACAACATTGCAATGACAAAGTTAGTAGAATGTCCTGTCGTGGAAAGAGTTCCTTTACGTTCACTTGTCTTGTAGAGGGGACAAATATAGGCATTCGACTTCACAATCTGAGACTTTTTATCTTGAAAAAACAAAAGAAACATATTCATTTGATAAAGAGAAAACAGCCAGTGGTACTAAAAGAACAACTATCTTATAATAAAACGGCAAGTGCTAAATCTAAAATTATGATTATGATATCTGAACATTTGAAAGTTGGTGTCGCTTTTTAAGGTTTTAAAGTAATTGTAGTTGTAAAATAAGGAAGTGATTTCATATGATTCATGATTCTAGGTCTAGAGGACAGGAATTGATTTTTAAAGTCTCATCACTGAGCAGGTAAGAAGACACTCAAGAGGAACTGGGAGAGAAGTAAGAGAAAGAGAAGGTGGGGAGGAAGGAACAAAATACAGCATAGGTAATGGGGGAGATGCAAAAAGAGAAACAGCTGCTTAGAGCTCTAATACAAGAAACCCATAAATTAGAAGTTGAAGTTACTATTTGTTTTCAGCAGGTTATTACTAAGACAAACACACCAATTCTTTCCTACTCATGAAAAGAAGGTCACATTTCTCATAGTTATAATTGAACTGCATTAATAATGAACATACTTAATGGATTGGCTAGTGCTTATGGGTGATTCATTAATGTTTTCATTTATAGTTCTTTGAGAATAAAAAATAAAGACAAAACAAAAGAATGAACCTTATTTGTTCAGACTTGTGGAAAAACGATGGTAGCAGAAGGAGGGAAGGAGCAAGTTGCTTTCCCAAGGGGGCCAAACTGGCCTGCACCCCATATGGCTGTCAGTGTTTAACCTTGGGGCACCTGACTGGCTCCTCGACTAGGAGTTTTCTATAGCCAGAAAACTCTAGTCAATAGCTGGAGACTGTGTCAAGCCTATTTGCGTCTCTGAGAGGTGTGCAAAGAAAGGCACTTGAGAATCAGAATACTGATGGGAAGCTCTAGACTCTGAAAAGTAGAAGTGTGGGGGAGGGACAAAGAAAATGTTACATCCCATGGGACAAGAGCAAAAAAGAGGCAGAATGATATTCCTAAAATAATATAAATGCAACACAAAAAAGGGGGAACAATATATTTCCAATGTAAACATTGTCACTATTCATTGTAATTGGACAAAAATCTAATAGGTTGGAGCAGAGGCTTAGGGGGAGCAGTTAAAATATCTATCATTATCCTCCTTAAAACTCTTAAGAAATTTTGTTAGAAGTATATTTACTTGGTTTTATCCATACGATGGGCATCAGGTCAAACAGAAGTTTGGGATATTGTTCGGCAAGTAACCCACTGTGAAGAGAAATTGAGAGATGTTTATTAGACATAAGATGAAACTTGCTACTTAGTGGCTTTTAATACGAGAGAACCAGAGACATACAGGAAAAGAATAATAATAATAAAACAACAACAACAAAAAACAAACTCAAGGAAGAGGCAATGAAGAATCAAGAGAAACAAAAGTATAGAAAGGCTACATATTCAAACAGTGGACAAAATCAATTCCTGCCATTTCTAAAGTACTGCCTGTGAAGCAGACACTAGATCATTGTGACCGTCACAATGATCTTGTCCCCAATCCTATTTCGCAGATAAAGAGTGGAGGCTGGGAGAGGGTGAGTACTTTTCTCATAGTAACATAGCTCTTAAATGCAGCGTTTAAATGAGGCTTCTTTTCCCTATGCTACATTGTTTGTTTGTTTGTTTATTTGTTTGAAAGAAGGGGAGAAGAAAGGAAGAAAAAGATGAATACGTATATAAAGAAAAGTAAGTTAAGAGAAATTTCATCACCCAGTAGGGTGATGAAAAACAAGAGAAATAATCAAATGAACTATGTGCATCCAAGTCTTCTCATGGCCCTGCCTTAGAATTCCCTCTGGGGAACCACCCTCTTGCTCCTTAAGCGATTTTCTCTGCCTTGGCCTTATGCCCCTTGAGAACAAAGTCTAACCTGAACTCTGAAATAGAGGATATGTTTACCAATGGACTGGCGAAGAGCAGGGCTCCAGGGGAAATATTTTCTCCCTTCCTCTCTTACCCTCTATATTTCAAACAAGAATAGCATTGCTTAGTTTCCCAAGCTAGAAATTCAGTATTTATTTTAAATGTTTATTTATTATGTCATCAAAATACAAGAAAAAGTTTTCCATTCACCAGTAGAAATAGGAACTTGAACTGTAAATTGTTTAAAAGTGAGGGGTTCCTACACATTCAAAAACAGAAGGTAACTATTACAGAACAGCAGCAGCAGGAACATGATGTTCATTAACTTTTCTTCTAGTCAGACCACTGAAATATTAACTAAAAATTGTTCAAGACCTAAAAAT